GATACGTGGGGGAGTTTCTTGCCTTTTGGGAGGTCTGAGGTCTTCTGCCAGCATTCAGTAGGTGTTCTGTAGCAGTTGCTCCACGTGTAGATGTATTTCTGGTGTATCTGTGGGGAGGAAGGTGATCTCCGCGTCTTACTCTTCCGCCATCTTACCCTCCGCTTCCAGACTCCTTTATTCTTAAAGTACATTTACTTTGAAGTGACTTCCGGGGCTTACCTGGTGGCGCAGTGGTTAAGAATCTTCCTGCCAATGCAGCGGACACGGGTTCGAGCCCTGGTCCAGGCCGATCCCACATGCCGTGGAGCAACTAAGCCCGTGCGCAACAACTACTGAGCCCGAGCTCTAGAACCCGCGAGCCACAACTACTGAAGCCCACGCGCCTAGAGCCCCTGCTCCGCGACAAGAGAAGCCACCGCAATGAGAAGCCCACGTATCACAAAGAAGAGTAGTCCCCACTCGCCGCAACTAGAGAAAGTCCGCATGCAGCAACGAAGGCCCAATGCAGCCAAAAAGAAAAAAAAAAGAAAACACGGTACATCAAAATTTATGGGATACAATTAAAGAAGTGCTTACAGGGAAATGTGTAGCCTTAAATGCCTAATTAGAAAGAAGAAAGATCTCAAATTTCACCTTAAAAATCTAGAAAAAGAAGAGCAAGACAAACCCAAGCAAAGAGAAGGAAGGAAATAGTAAAGATCAAAGTGGAAATCAGTGAAATAGAAAACAGAAAAACAATAGTGAAAAATCAGTACGACCAAAAGTTGGGAAAAGAGCAACAAAATTGACAGACCTTTAGCTAGATTGGCCCAGAAAAAAGATACAGATCACCAAAATCATGAATGAAAGAGGAGGCATCACTGCCAACTCTATAGAAATTAAAGGGCCTATAAGGAAATCAAACAACTTTATGACAAGAAACTTGACAACTTATATGAAATGGACAAATTCCTGGAGAGACACTAATTGCCAAACTGACTTAAGAAGAAACAAAATATAGTAAATAAATTTAATTAATAATTAAAAATCATCTTTCAAAGAAAAGCCCAGGCCTAGCTGGTTTCACTAGGTATGGATTCTGTCATACATTTCAAGAAGAAATAATACCAATACTTCACAAACTCTTCCAGAAAATAGAGAAAAAAGAAACATTTCCCAACTCATTTTATGAGTTGTGTCATTCTCATATCAAAGTCAGACAAAGACATCATTTAGAAAACTACAGACTAATATCCCTCATGAATATGGACACAAAAATCCTCAAGATTCAAGGTTGCTCACACTCCAGTACTTTTAATGGCTATGCTTATAATACCTTTTAATTTATACTTAACACAAAAATTGTATTTGAATTTTAAGTATGAATGTTACTTGGAAACTGCTTATTTGTGCATTTGCTTCCATTTTTGCCTTATGAAATATACCCTACTTAAAAGAGTACACAGTTTTAAGAATAATAGTAGAGCAAACACCTTTATACCCCATCCAGCTTTAAAAATAGAATATTCATTATAGTTTTAAAGATCCCTATATATTCTTTACCTGTCATTACTTCCTTGCTTCCTGATGAAGCCCATTTTCTGTAATTATTCACTTGCTTTCTCATACAGTTTTATTATACCTGTATGTTCTGAACAATATTACTGCTTCAGCTTTCAGAGATTTTGACGTTACCGAAATGTCAGGAGAGAACTTTAGATGGCTTCCAGATGGCTATCATTGTTGCCAGTCATAGTAAAGATGCCAACGGTGGCCTGCAGTAAATCATATTTTCAAAGAATGGGACTATAAAACCTTTCTTGTCCCAAAGAATGGGACAAGAATAATGTCCTCTCATTTGAAAATGCATCAAGAATGAGTATGGTGAAATAAACAGAAATTTATATGCTTTCTCTAAAACTATTGAATGATTTTTGAAGGGACTAAAATAAACCTTGAAATGGATGGGCTGAACTGAATTCTTTATGTGTAGGCTGTAACAAAAACTCATATAATGAAAAAAATGACTCACTTTTTGGAACTAAGGCTAATGAGAACTCAACTATCACCAGAAGGGAACAGCTAGTTTAAAGAGGATTTTCTCACTATCTTTACTAAAACTATAATTTATTTGGAATGCACCTTTACCACATTTAAATGATCTGTGTGTTTTAAAACCATTTTCCTTGAAAAGGAGAGGTTTAACTTATGACATTCATTATGCTTCGAAGTACTTAAAAATGGGCATTTTAGACATGGGTAGCCTGTATGATGAATTCATAGATGCAAAGGACCTGACAGACAAACAGCTGGTCTATGAAACAAACCTGGAGATACAAATCCCTACAGGTCTAAAAACCTGCTGTTTTTAGTGAGTAAAATCCCATTATTCTTTGCCTAAATGATTTTATTGAAGGGATATTTAACTTGATGTCATGACATTCCACTGGTTAGAGAAATAAGTGTGATATATAGGCTTAAGAGCAGAGCTGAAAGTCATAGTGAATTTTATTTTACAGTTGATTGTACTTAGTTATACCACTGCATAAAATAATATCCTGAAGGCTGCAGGCAGATCAGAGAAGTATTGTTTAAAAGGGCAACACACAAATACCCTACAAGATCATGGAATAAAAAGAAAAGTAATTGTTTACTTTTTATTAAATATAGATATATCTATTTAATTAGTCCTATTATATGTATAATCTTTTAAAAAGTCTTACATTTTTATATTTTAAGAATATACAATATAGTGTCTATAATATTTAAATTTAAAAGTAAAAAGTTTAAAATATGTTAAAATAAGTTGCTGTGTCAGAGTACAGAAACATTAAGTATATTGTTTAATATTCTCATTTTTTTTGATTAGTCCAATTAATTACTAATTGCCACTGTTAACTAGTCCTTTTGTTTTGTTTAAATAACTACATTTGTGTAACAGAAAAGTAAAGAATACAGATTAATAGATAATTTTGGAAAAACACCCATTTTTGTATTTTTATGTTAAAGAAGTAACATATGTATAAGTATTTCTTCCATATTACTTTTTTTGAAAGGTGGGCTCTCTGAAAGTTTTGGTCACCCTCTTCCAAGGATGAGGCTTAATCCAATTCTATATTCCTGAGATTATAGAAAAAATTAAACTAGATAAATAGATAATGTTATTATTTTCAAATTTTTCTCTTATTTCCTAGAAACTGAGTTTTACTGAGCTTAGAGGGCAAATGAAAGGACAAAACTAACTTAAATCTTGTTCCTCTCTGATCTTTGTCACGTAGTTGAAGTTGTTTAGTTCTCCTGGTCTTAGTTCGGGGGAAACAAAAAAACACCACACTCGTACACAAACAAATAGTAGGTAAGTATCCTTCTCTTCCTCCTCCAGAAAAACTCCACACAAACCAAAAAACAACCACCACACAACCTACTTGGGTTTACTACCAGGAGTGTTGAATTAACAAGGGAGCATTAGAAGTTGTGTAGCCGTTTGCCTCCTGTTTACTTACTTGAAAGAAAACTAAAAAAAAAAAATTTTTTTGGAGTGTAGTTGAGATACAGTGTTGTGTTAATTTCTGCTATACAGCAAAGTGATTCAGTTATACATATACACATTCTTTTTCATTTTCTTTTCCATTATGGTTTAGCACAGGATATTGAATATGGTTCCCTGTGCTCTACAGTAGGACTTTGTTGTTTATCATTCTATATATAATAGCTTGCATATGCTAAGGCCAAACTTCCAATCCATCCCTCCCCCACCCCCCCTCCCCTTTGGCAATCACAAGTCTGTTCACTATGTCTGTGAGTCTGTTTCTGTTTTGTTGATAAGTTCATTTGTGTCATATTTTAGCTTATGCATATAAGTGATATCATATGGTATTTGTCTTTCTCTTTCTGACTTAACTTCATTTAGTGCGATAATCTCTGGATTTATCCACATTGCTGCAAATGGCATATTTCATTCTTTTTTGTGGCCAGGTAGTATTCTATTGTATATATTTATCACATCTTTATCAAATTCATCTGTCATTGGACATTGAGGTTGTTTTCATGTCTTGGCTATTGTGAATAGTGCTGCTTTGAACATGGGGTGCATGTATCTTTTAAAATTATAGTTTTGTCTGCATATATGCCCAGGTTACTTACTTACTTTTACTTTTTTTCTTGATATATCTTCTTTTTTGTTCCTTAGATAGTCTATTAGCATAGAGAAATCACTTGAACAATGCATTCTTTTGGTACTTTCTCTAAAAGTTACCATCCTTGTTCATTTATTCTCTAGAGCCTTCAGAACTAAAAATACATAAGTTGACATGCCAAAGATGACCATATTTCTAGCTTCTCAGTGTTATTTTCTTTCAGTAAAGTAATTTTTCACATTGAACATGATATTTTATATTTCTGTGTAGTATCTGTCACATTATGCACCTTGAGATGGAAATTGTTGGAACAAATTAACTTCAGATTTTTTCCATCCTGTATCACGCTGGAACTTTGCTGCAGTATTATAAAACCAAATTAAGATAAGCATAGTCTCTTTTAAGTGCCATTCAAAAGGATTGTTTCTAACATTAAATGATAAATAACAAATGTATTATTCTTTTGGTATTTTATTAAATACACATCTCGGACTACTGAGTGCTCAACACTAACGCCTAATGACAGAGTTTCCTATGTGCTAGACACATATGCCTTACGTAAATCTCTTTTCATCCTCATAATAACCCTATGTGGTATTTACCACCATTTTGCAGATTAAGTGAAGCCTAATGAGAGGTAAGTTGCTCGGCAAAAGTCAAGATTTAAATCCATGTTTGTCGAACGGTCGACTGTGTAGTACCTGATGAAAAGAAGGTTCTAGCTCTTATTTCAGCCTTTAATCATCAGGATGTCATTTACAAACCAAGGATTTTCTGGCATTTACTTTCAATAATATGATTCCATTATTCTCCTACTATTAAGGCTTAACTTGTATTTAGAAATTCCAAAGATCACTACTACTGTTATTTTTCTCTGTTTGTCAGGCATCTCCAAGAGTTACTGTTGATGATTATTTGGTAGCAAAATTAGCAGATACTTTGAATCATGAAGATCCAACTCCTGAAATCTTTGATGACATTCAAAGGAAGGTATTATGTACAACATTTATCATTATATCTTTCTCGAAAACAGTGTATATTTCTGTATGCATGTAATTTGTTTATAAAAGGTTTTTGAAGCATTAAGAAAGTACAGTGGTAACTAAAAAGATGAGTTATGGTAATAATATCAGTACTTCACAATTACAAAAAAGGCCAGTTTTTCTTTGTTTATTTAATTGACAAATGAGGAAAATCCTTAGCTGGATTGTTTAATTTGAATCTGACTGAAGGGCCAGGTATAGATTCTAGAATTTTATGAATTGATGATGTATAAATAACATGATTCATTTATTTGAATATGTGTCTTGAGCCTTTATGTGTACTTGTTTCTTAGAGAGTACTACTTTCTGGAACATTTTATGTAACCTGCTGTCATGTGACTTGAGTTGCAGTAGGACCTGTTTCAGTACAATTTGGGTACTGGAGGGACCAGAAAAAAATTATTGGTTGTGACATAGTCTTATTACTGACATCTTGTTAATATGGAGCCTGTAATTCATTACAGTAAGACCTCTGTCTAGCTTTCGTTGAAATCTTATTAGTGGAAATCACTGCATTATCTGTATTAATGATTGAATATCTTGATTTATTTCAATAAGGTATATGAATTGATGCTACGAGATGAAAGATTTTATCCTTCCTTCAGACAGAATGCACTTTATGTGCGCATGTTAGCTGAGCTGGATATGTTAAAAGATCCTAGTTTCAGAGGATCAGATGATGGTGATGGAGGTAAGGTGGCACATGTTGTACATTTATGTGTATATGTATATTCCTGTATATATTCTGCTTACCAAAAAAAGTCCTTTCAAATAAGATAAAAAATGTTCTTGAAACCCAAATATAAATTGTAGTATATTTAAAAATCTGTAATTAAATGACAAAGTTTACTTTCTATACTAAATTAAAATGTTAAAATTTAATAACAAATTTGAATGTAACTATTGAAAATAGAATTCTTAAAGAAGCATGTTTTCTTGAGTTGTGTCACCCCAGTGTTTTTATGGTAGTTTCCCTTTTGTTTATAAGTAATAATAGTCATGACTAGCAATAGGATTATTGAGAAGATTAAATGAAATAACAAGTGATGATCCTGAGAATGTGCCATAAACTATAAAACATAAAAATACAGTTATTTCCCTCTTTAATTGTACCCTTTTCCAAATCCTGCACAATATAAGCTGGAGGAAGCTATAAGAGTCATTTATTCCAATCGTTCAGTTTTTTTCTATCTACATGTTATAGTAAAGAAAGCATAATATTGTCATAATATTTAGATTTTATTCCTTTTCTTATTGCTTGTGTGATGTTGGCCAAACAATTTCTTTAAGCCTCTTTCTCAGCTGTAAATCTGGAATAATATTCTTCTCATAATAATATCTTACCTCAGAGTTGTCATATTTTAATGGAATTCTGTATATAAAAATGAAGTATAAACTAAAATGCAAATATCAGTTTTTATTAGTAGTAAATAATTGGTTATTTAAGAATAGTGGGAGAGGCAGCCCTTAGAGTACAGTTGGCAGATTTTAGACCTGATGACCATTTCACTTGTGATTCAATTCAGAAGTCCTTATTAAACTCTAATTAAATATCTAGTATTTGATAAACTTTCTAGCAAATAAGCAATGTAAATACAAAGTAAATGGGAAAGATTGGACTAAGAACTAATTTTAAGAGAGTGCTTTAATTATGCTCATTTACTTATGAATAGATTTTATGGACAGGACCACTTGAAGTTGGAGATATAATAGATGTATTAGATAGTGAGCACTGCTTTAAAAAATACCTCTGTTATGGAAGCTTTCCAGCCTCCCCTCTTCTCTACCTATCCTCCCCATCCCCTAGTCTATATTAGTGAGATTTAAAAATTTTTTTCTATATATTTTTTTAACATCTTTGTTAGAGTATAATTGCTTTACAATGGTGTGTTAATTTCTGCTTTATAACAAAGTGAATCAGCTATACATGTGCATATATCCCCATATCCCCTCCCTCCCACCCTCCCCATCCCACTTCTCTAGGTGGTCACAAAGCACCGAGCTGATCTCCCTGTGCTATGTGGCTGCTTCCCACTGGCTATCTCTTTTACGTTTGGTAGTGTATATATGTCCATGCCACTCTCTCACTTCGTCCCAGCTTCCCTTTCCCCTTCCCCATGTCCTCAAGTCCATTCTCTACGTCTGCGTCTTTATTCCTGTCCTGCCCCTAGGTTCTTCAGAACCATTTTTTTTTTTTAGATTCCATATATATGTGTTAGCATACGGTATTTGTTTTTCTCTTTCTGACTTACTTCACTCTGTATGACAGACTCTAGGCTACAAATAACTCAGTTTCGTTTCTTTTTATGGCTGAGTAATATTCCATTGTATATATGTGCCATATCTTCTTTATCCATTCATCTGTTGATGGACAGTTAGGTTGCTTCCATGTCCTGGCTATTGTAAATAGAGCTGCAATGAACATTGTGGTACATGACTCTTTGAATTATGGTTTTCTCAGGGTATATGCCTAGTACTGGGATTGCTGGGTTGTATGGTAGTTCTAGTTTTGGTTTTTTAAGGAACCTCCATACTGTTCTCCATAGTGGCTGTATCAATTTACATTCCCACGAACAGTGCAAGAGGGTTCCCATTTCTCCACACTCTCTCCAGCAAGATTTTACTTTTTAAATAATCTAAGAAATCTAGTTACAGAAGTTTCCATGTTGTAATAACTTTTATATTGATTGTTGATCTAATATCTTGGTTATTTGTAAAATTGGGATAATATTTTATTAACTGGATTTGATTGCGTAATTGGGGAAGTGTTTTTTTTTTAAAGAGTACTTCTGTGGGAGATGAATAGTAAAATTCAGTGTACCTCAAGTATGTTATATAGTATATCTATTTACTGTCTCTCTTGAAAAATCTGTTGCATAGCTGCTAAGAAATTTGCAGTAGGAGCTCTGCTTCCAAAAAGGACTATTTAAAATGTTTTTATTGTTTATTTTAATTTTGTCTACTTTAGAAATTTCCTTAGTATTGTGAAACGGATTTGCTATCTGACCCAGAATGAAAGAGGATAAATTGAATCATAATCAGCTAATATATGAGTGTCTAAGTATTATATAATGATGACAGTAACAATATTCTCTGGGAGTAGGTTTTGATCCTATAGTGTAAGAACTTCAAAATCTTCTAAATCGACTTTTAGCTTCCATTTATATTTGTCTTGTATGCAACTAATGGAAGCAAATTATTTATGTTGTCTCAAACTTCTCAAAACCTCATACTTAAAACACAAAGTAGATTAAAAGTTTTTTTTCTGCAACTAGTTTTGATCTGAAGTAAATGTACTTCTATTATATATCAGTCATTGAGTAGTCCCTCACATCGGAATCATTGATTGTAGTTTGGAATTAGTGTATATATATATCTCTTTCGTCTTTCTAAGACATTGCTTTTTAACATTCTGTGTTCTAATTGATGAGCTTTTATATATTTTATAACTGAGAAATTGCCTAACCCTTTTTTGAAACGATTTGAAAAAAGTATGTGGAATGATGGGTATAATATGAAACATTATTTTTAAAAATGGCAGTTAGGTATATTATGTTTGTCAGTGTTTAGGTTTTAGGCACTTGTGACAACTTTTTCAAATAGTGATGCTTATGATTTTCTTGTCTTTATAAGATTGTTTAATTAAAAATAGGCCTTTCTTAAATCTTCTGGTTATAAATTCATTGTCTGACTTTTCAAATTAAGCTTCCTGGCACGTGTATTTTTTAAAGTCCTGAGGTTTGGGCTACTTTTTAGACATTTTGAAATAATTACCTAATCCAGTGTTTAATGTGTAGCTGATTTTAACAAAATGCAGCCTAAATTGAGCACAGAATTAGTGGGCCAAATCTTTCCATGTGTAATAGTCTCCGCTGGTGGTTTTTCTTTGCTGTGGAAGAAATTTCATTCCTATTTAACTAAACTTCTGTAGGTGGGCAGGTAGGTGGCTGGATGGCGTGCTAACCCATGCCCTCTCTCCTCCTCTCCTCCCCTTTCTTCCTTTTCTTTTTCTTTGTTCATAATTGCCTTCTTTAGTTAGTTCAGCTTTAAATTATTTTAAGAGTAGATATTTTTTCCTTTATTAAAACATACTTTCAGGGCCTTTTAAAAATATTTAAATTGCGCTGTTTTAAATTTTAATTTCAATCACGTTTCTCTCATTATGTCAAACAATAGTTTCTTTTGTTTTCTAATATTAATAAGCAGTTATTAAAGTTTTGATTAAATGTGGACCTAGATTGGCTTTAGGCTCTTATTTCTGGATCTTATTATTGATCAAGAAAGTAAACTATGCCTTGCTTTGCTCCTAGTTTCTCTTTTAATTTGACATGTCTTTGGTGGGAAGACTTAAGAGGTGGGCAGGCCACAGAAGGAGGTAGGAGGCATATAATTGAATAAGGAGGTTAGAGAACTCTTTGTTTACTCATTTTAATTTTCACCTTGCTGTTAACCAAGGGGTAATCCTAGGTGGGATTTCCTATTTTTGTGACCAAAGTTTTGAGGAACCGAGAAATGTTCTTGGGCGTTTAGAGTTGTTGAAGTTGGAAAGCAACACCAACTGCCTATTTCAAGAGCAATAGAAATTTCCTTTGAAGACCCATCTAGAGATCCAAATTATAAATAATCTCTTAAGGGCTACGAGCCATACATTAACTTTAAACTGTTTATGAATATTGCTTTACCATATATTCATTTGTGTTTTTAACAGAGGGATATCTTAATTGGTAACCTAATTTGCTCAGATATAGACTAAAATTCTGAGGGAAAGATATTAATTTCAATAATTCACTTACTCTCTAATGTTAATTTTTAAAAATAATTTTAGTTGCTTTTTAATTAAATGACATTACACATAGAATTTTATGTATCTTTTGTTCTATTATTTGTATATTCATTTAAGAATCTAGATTTTGAATATTTTTGATCCAGATCAACCAAGAATAAGTAGACTTTATAGATATCTTAAAAGTCAATCTATTTATCCTTCATATTAAAGAATAATTTTATTTGTAATATTAATCCAGTGGGACAGAAATAACAAAATACCTCTGACATTTCCTAGTGGACTTCACTCTGCAGTGTTTACCTCATATCTACATTGTATTAGACAACTTAATATGATACTGTGATAATAAAATATATAATAATTGCTTTCCTGTACATAAATACCTTTTTTGGGGGCGAGCAACTTAGGTACATAACTATTTTCACTGAAATATCTGGCTTGGAAAACTGTGGGAATAGGTGTTTGGGAATAGTGTACCACAATTTACTGTTCTGTTATATCTTGGCTTGTGTGACTTCTGTTCTTGGTGTTTGAACCTTAGATAGATAAAGCACTTTCAAAAGTTTTTTACTGCATACTAACTTGAATTTCCCTTCTCACAGAATCTTTTAATGGGTCTCCTACAGGAAGCATAAATTTGGTAAGTACTGTTATGAGTACTTTAATTAATAAAGTGGCCTGAAAACAATATGAAAGACTGAGCCTTAACATATGTAAATAAATGATGTATTAGAAGTCCCCAAGTCATCCTTTGTAAGAAGTTGTTATGCTTTTAAAGAAATATTAAATTCACAAATAAGGGATCTGTTAATTAGAACTTAAAAATGACATGAAAATTTTTTTCATTTAAAAAAATGTGCTTAAGCCACACCTGAATGATTTAGTTGCAGGTGATAAAAAATTATTTTATTATTTTCAACCCCAGTATTTAATATTTGAAAATGACTCTGATCATTGCTATGATGGGCAGTAAATTTGTGACATACAAATGTTTACACTGGAATTAGTTTTTTCTTCTTGTATTTAGAAAAGAAATATAAAATTAGTTGGGATATCTGAAAACTTAAAAGATATTTCTTAAAAGTCTACACTATAAAAAATTCAAGTTATTGTAAAAAAAAAAGACTTTTTTTAAGCTTAGAGGGTTTTACAAGAATTAAGCAACTGTATTCTATGATTACAGGTTTAAGAATGACATGTTTTTAGCATATAAGCTGTCATTGACATTTCATATATTCAAGGTGAAGTGTGAGACAATGAACATTTCAGTTCTTTTATATATCCATCCTTGCCATTGAATACCTTATTTCATAAAATGCTGCTGGAAAGGAATATTAGTGTTCTATGAAAGTTTCAGTCCAGAATTTGTGGGGGATGGGCAGAGATTGTTTGCTTTGTTTTTCCTTCTACCTACAACACATTTTCTTTCAAACTTTTTGTGATAGCTGAATAGTTTAGAGGTCCATTGTCTTATGTTCCTCACTACTACATTTATTTCTAAAATTACTTTATTGTATAAATGTTCTATTATTGTGCAAAGTATAACCTTTAACAAAACACTAAAGCAAATCAGTCATAGTGTTATGTCATATATTTAGTAACATTTTAAATGTTTTCCTAAATTATTTGGTATCATTACCATTTACTTCTCATATTCCACAGAGTTATAATGAAAAGGAATAGCTCCTAGAGAATGAAGAGTGTTAGCAATATAATGCTCATTATATAGAAAGTTTCCAAATGTGATGAAACTTTTCCTTGGTTTGAAATTTTTCAATATTCACATTTGTAGTGCTTGTACAAGTGTTTGAACACTAGTAAAAAATATTTTTTTTCTTCATTCCCTATTGGGAATAAATGCTTTTTCAAGTAAAAGAGATCCCTTTTATCACATAGTGATATAAACCAGAACAGTGTGGATTGAAAAAGGTCACACTTGAGGTCAGTGACTTACAGTTTTTTGGTTTTCACATAAATCTGTTAAATCTAAGCTTTTAAGTAGCTAGACTGTTTTCGATTCTTTTTTTTTAATACATAGACAGATTTTAATGAACAGCTGCATTTTAAAAAATAGTTTAAGATTATAAAGAATTGCTTTAAAAACCATCAGATATTTTTCATGTTTGATGGAGATAACATTTATTAATTGTATTAAAATTATAAACTAGATCATAATAGTTTATTCCAGTATACTAAGCAAAGAAAATATTTAATGTGGTGGTTTACTCATTTTGTGATTGAAACTGACACATAAATTATAAACATTTTTAGAAGTGCCATTGTAGTTGTGTTTGCTCAATTGATTATCATAGTAAATTTGAATTTTTGCTTTTTATCTTAGCATAGTGTTTAAAAAAAAAAAACTTTTTTTTTTTTTTTTTGGCAAGGAGTTCAGGAATCTTAACCCAGGAATTACTTTACAAACTGATTTTATTTCAGGACAGCATTAATGCACTTGTTTTGAAATCACAGTTTTCTATGACTAATCAATACTTAATAGTTCTAAATCACAATGTAGTTCTGTAGTTATTATTTCACCAGTTGTAACTTTATGTAGTCTACTTGATAGTTACATGTGCATTGTAACTGTGACTAATGGTTAAGAGATATCTCATTGGATTTTTAAAATCATATTTAATGAAAATAATATTACTTGTATATTTTAAATGTGCTAAAAAGACATTTATATATTATACAGAGTTTTTCAACAACTTCTGGGTTGCATAGTATATAAGATGCTAACATGTTTAAAGTAATAAGTAAGGGGCATTTAGCTTTTTAAATGTTACCTGCAAGGGAAGGTTACCAATAATAATAATGTTTTTTTTGAAAAAGGTGATTGTTTTATATTCTTGGTGCTAGCTTGTAATTAGAAGATTATAGTAGATAACAATCTTAAATTTTGTAGAATATTCCATTTCCTCTGGGGCTTCTGTCTTTCATGTAAAAATAATACTGAAACAAAGGTGGTGCTGTTTCTGTCAAAATGTTTTATTGTAGGTCAGGTGAGCACTTAAAAAAATAAGTGCATTCTATTTCTTTTCAAAGTATTTTCATTCACTTTATATCCTGATAGAATTGTAGAATAGGTATTACACCATTATAATATTGGGAAAACTGAGAAACTGAGGAAAGACTAGTTGATATGGCTAAAGTCTCTTAAGGTAGCCTGGACTAGACCTAAAATAATTGAATGGTTCTCCCACTTGATTTGTGGTTAATCTGTATGGAATTATCAAATTTTGCTTCTCCTGATGATCAGTCTTTAGTAGATAGAATTTTGACTTTCTTCTTAGACTGTAATTGCTTAATTTAAATGGCTTTATGTCATATGCATGGCTTCATTTAAGTCATTTAGATGACTCTTAGTAATAACTGGTAATATCACATTAATACTCCAAAGTTCATTCAATCCTATGGTTTTCAAAGTGTAAAATATGTCTGAATCATATAATGTCTGTGTGTTATAGGTCCCCAAGACCACTCCTATGTTCATTGATTTACTAAGAGGACTCACAGGTCCCAGCATAGTCATACTCATGGCTAGAATTTATTACAGCGAAAGGATATAAAGCAAAATCAGGAAAGGGAAAAGGTGCATGGGGCAAAGTCCAGAGAAAAGCAGGCACAAGTTTCCAAGAATCCTCTTCCATGGAAGTCACATAGGACAGACTTAATTTCACCAGCAGTGAATATGACAACATGTGTGAAATGTTGCCACCAGGAAGGCTCATCTGACACTAAGTGCCCAGGGTTTTTCTTGGAGGCAGATCACACAGACACCCTCTGCCTAGCATATACTAAAATGACTCCCAGAAGGAAAGCAGGTATTCAGCATAGACCACATTGTTTGTACAGATAGTTACATAGAGTGAGCCACTCTTAGCAGTTAGGGAATGGTGGGAACGTTTTCTAAATCTAACTTCCCAGATATTGTCCAAGGGCCAACCTTGAAAGCAGTCCTTTCTAACGTTAATTCTTTTCCATACAGTCTGCCTTCGTTATCTGCGTCATGTTCCCTTCTTTGTATGTGTGGGTGTATGGATATGTAGCAAAAAAGTTTTAAGTTTAGAGCTAAAGTCCATAGTTACAAAAGATTTATTCTGAATTGATCCGTAATACTTTTTGTTTATGGAATAATTTTTGAAAATTATTTAAAATATCTTATACTGTGGATTCACTTCATTTAGTAAGTAATCATAATAATGGCTAACATTTTTTATGTTAGGCAGTTTTCTAAATGTTTTACATATCTTTTCCTTTAGTCCTCACATAACCCTTTGATGTAGGTACAATTATTCTCATTTTATAGATAAGGAATGTAAATTAACTAAAACTATTTCTAAGTTAACAAAAGTGTTAAAGAATACAAAGTTGGCTCTAGTATATTTCAGCATTAAAATTGAAATGTTGATTTAAGAATATGTCTGCTTATTTTGATTCACATTTTTTTTTTTTTGCCATGTACTGAATATATATAATTGAGAAGAAGCAAATTATAGTATGTGGACGGGTAATGAAGGAAGAAATAATCTGATGTATTAAGTTGGTTACTAAATTACTTTGTTTTATAGTTTCTTAATCTTAGGTTCTCTCTCTCCTATTAGTATAAATAAAGAGGATTATTGTTTGCGGGGGAAGATACAAATAATATAAAGCTTACATAGGGCAAAGATGAGTAATGTTATATATGATGTAGAATTCTTTAACACTTTTTTTCCTGTAAAGTTTAACAATTTTGTGTTCTGATTCCCCCACCCTCCACCACCCAGTCTTTAGATGACCTTTCAAATGTATCTTCTGATGACTCAGTACAACTTCATGCTTACATTTCAGACACTGGTAAGAGACTTTGTGGTTTAATTATTACTTAAAAACTATTGACTATTATTACTCCTACATTATTTTCCACGTTTATTTTTATAAATCATTTTTCTGTTCTGTAGTCATGTTTTCAAATTACTTTTTTTCTGTAACATGTTCTTCATTAAATTCTATGATGTTTATTATTACATGGGTGTTTCCTTTCTTTAAGGTTGTCACTGTTATCATTTGAAAAAGGTTAAATTTTAAGCATTTTGTCATGGCTAATAAACTTTGAAACCAGTCTTCTTTTTCTTTGAGTCTAGCTGATAATTGCATAATCCTTACTAAATTGTCTTGGGGCAGATTTTAGTTTAATATTTGTTTTCATACGTGCAAAGTCAGATTAGATATCTGGATAAATGAAGCTTTTTGGTATAGGAGTTTATAGAAGTTCAAGAAATGCTTGGATGAGGTGAGATTCATGACTGAATCAGTATATGTGCAAAGTGGCTAGTGAACTGAGGAAAAAAATCAATTTCCATCATTGTTATTGGGTTATTAGATAATGCCAATGCCGGTTTTCTTATCTGGCTTCTCATTATTCCTACAATATAGGAGTGTGTTTGTCAGATTACATACTGAAATATAAACATACAGATAAATACCTCAGTTCAATTTCATACTTATAATTTAGATAATTTGGAAAGAGGTTTAATAGTACAAGTGTAGTTTTAAAAAGATCAGTTGCATCTATTTTTTTAAGATTTTGTTTTCTTTTCACTGGAGCTGGAGTCTAATTTTCCATTGTGTTTTCTGCCAGATTTCTGTAATAAGTTATCTATAATTCCTCTTTCAGTTTTTCCTTTATCTTTTACAAATAGTTGGTGCATACGTTGCTCTTAAAGGTCATTAGGTAACACTCTTGTCAATAAAACCAGAGGGTCTAGTTGCGTTTCTTTCTAGCTTTTGATACATTTGTCTCACTTTTTCCTTCCTTAAAATTTTAAAATTCTTTTAAAAAACTATCTTCTTTGGTGAGTTGTCTTCCAAATATGAAAGCCTTTGTTAAAATGCAACATTTAGAATTTGTCCTTTTATTTCTTTCTTCAAGTCCTTAAACTTTTGTGTGTAGAAGAAGATACTAATGTCCATATTTCTTATGTGGATCTTTCTCTTCTCTGAGGGTTCTAGTTTTCTAGCTGCTTTGTCCATTCATTCAACAAGTATTTATTAGCTTCTTAAAAGATACAGAAGCATAACACTAAGCATTTTTAATAAATTGTAATTTCTGTCAGACAAATTTATGTTTAAACACTAAAGAGGCAGCAGAGTATAGTGGTTAAGAGCACAGCTTTTTGTCCAAATTGCTTGGGTTCAAACCCCAGCTCTTCCACCTAATAGTTGGGTGAACTTGGATGAGTTCCTTAACATCTCTGTATCTCAATTTCCCCATCTGTAAAATGGGATATTAATGATAATAATAATAATACTTGCCTCATAAGATTGTTATGGGACTAATTAACTGTATTCATAATTACATGGTGGGCATTATATATTAATGTTTGTTCAATAAAGATTTCTTTTATGAGTTGGGCTCCAGAGTCTCTTTGAGTCTGGATCCCATGTCCTTAACATCTGTATGACAGGAAGTAGAACTTAAGAGTCCAGTGCAGTGCTATTTAAGGAGTGACCCATAGACTGCAGTGTACTGGCTTCTTCACTGAGAAATCTTGTTTTAAAAAATATTGGCTACGTTAGGCAATCAATGTGTTTAGCGATGAGATTTATTTATATTCTGATCCTAGTTCCTTGTCTGGTTATGGATTAGGAACTAAGAGGTTGCACATCACCTGTTATGAGTAGTAACATTGTCCTAATGCAAACAAAACCTGTTATTTCCACTATAATATCTCACCATCATCTCAAAATATATGTAACCTCATTATCTTTTAAAATCAAATTACCTTTCTGTCTTAGTGCTTCTTTTATAATAGCCCTATTATTCTTCCTATTGTGCATGCATCCTAGTCATAATCTCCCCTGCCTATCAATTTGTGACAAATCTGATTATTCTTTTTTAGAATGCTTTCTTACATTCCTTTCTTCTTTTCTATTTCTTGCTTGTTCTTAATAACTCCTAATTGGTTATGGTTTGCTGCCTAATTGGCCCCTGCTTCCTATTATCCTTTCCCAAACCTATCTTGAACACAACAGGTGAAGCCATTCCCTTGTTGCCTTGCTAACTCTGTTGAGTGACGGTGGTTCTCTTGGGTGATGAAAAATTGCTGTACACTTTGTTCCACATAGGTCTCCAAGTGAAGGATATTTGAAAGAGGTGAACAGTGAGTAATAGAGTTAAAGCCTCTGATAGCAAGATGACCCAGGTCTATCCCTAGTCTTCTATTTTGTCAAGTCAGGAACACTGATATTAGATGGTAAGGGAATGAAGGACAGTTTTGAATAGAAAATGCAAATCTTAGAAAAAATCTAATGAAAGGCTGGGAGAGGTTCCTGTCCAACTACGTTTGCCAGTATAGATTTGTAGCTGTTATATTATTAAAATAATTTACTAAGAAGCTGCACGGACCCTTCTTTGCCTAATTATATACAAAATACAAATATTTAGTCAGCTCGAAAGCTTGGCCACTTTTTTTTTTGTAATTATGGGTCAGTATATCTATTATTAGAAGAGCAGTTTATACTTCTGGTCAACATGGTAGTCTAAACTGCTGTGGGAAATCTTGCTTCCCACACATGGAAGTAGTGAAAGCAACAGAATAAAAATAGCTAAAAGGGGAAATCTACAGGTGTAATAGACCATGAAGGAAAGCAAATTTAGGGAAATGAAGAGGAGTTGAAGCCAAGGAGCTTATAGGAGCGTGAAGACTGCTGTCTTGATTTTGACAGCATTTTTATGCCCTCAAATTTAGAAGAGGCAGGATGGGCTAAGGCAAGGAGAAGCTGGAACACAGTCATTTGCATAAATCCCAGAGTCACAGAGGGTGGCTTGATGTGAAAGAGGAACCAGAACTTAGCCTACTGTCAAAGGAAAGAACAAAGAATGTCAAGGTTGTGGTTGGGAATGGTATCTATCACCCATATGAAATTGAAAGCCTGTCTTGTATCGTGACATTGGTGTGTCTAGATTCAGCCATCCTCAAGTGGTTGTGTACCACAGGGTTTCCTAGCCCAAGAGTATGTTAAAAATATTCATAGAGATAAAATGAGGCAAGAATACCACACTATAAAAAAAGAACCATATGAAATTATAGAAGTAAAAAAAATTACTTACTGAAATTAAGGTGAGTGGCTGAATTAAGAAACAGACCAGGTACAAATGAGTGGAGACTGATAAACATTTAGAGACCTGAAGAGATGATCTAGAATAGAATACAGCACAGAGAGAAAAAATGGAACATGAGAAAAACAAAATGATTCAAAATATGTCTTTTTACTTAAGATTAGTACAGAATAGGAATAGGTTTTGATTTTTGAGACTACCTGACTTGGATGGTTTGTGTCAATTAAGTAGGAAAATAACTATTTACAACAGTCTTCAGAATAAATTACACTTGTAAATTGTTGAATATTTTAAACAAGAAAGAGATTTGCCAAAAGAGAAGATAGGTCTTATCCTATAGCTTTTGCTTGCTGTTCAGTTAAAAAGCTATCGAGTTACAGCTGAATAGTGAAGGCTAGTACAGAGGTTATTATTTTGTTTCTGTAGTTTTTCTTCTATTAAATTTAAGAGACTCTAATACTATACTATGAGGTGGTACTGTGTTATCATAACTGATAATAAATAAAAGCTCATTGGGAAGAGAGTCCAAAGTAGACGTCACTGTGTGGTTGGCAGTATCATCATAAACTTGTAGGTCATTTTGTAATGTAGCCATCATATATAACGCATTATGGATGTGAGTACAGAGGATGGGAATCTATTTTATCCTTTGGTGACATCCTTTTGTCTCAGTCTGTCATTTCAGATTCTTTTTCATTTCATGTTGTCCATCTTGTTTGTTTTTGTTCTTCATCTTCCTCCTCTCTGTGTCTTTTGTTCCTCTTCATTTTGTTTTAAATGACTAGTATATGCTGACTATGACCCATATGCTGTGGCAGGCGTTTGTAATGATCATGGCAAGACATACGCATTATATGCCATCACTGTACACCGGCGCAGTCTAAACAGTGAGGAGATGTGGAAAACCTACCGTCGTTATAGTGACTTCCACGACTTCCACATGAGGATCACCGAACAGGTAATGAGGTTTTTAAAGTTTGTGTACTTTACATTGTTTCTTGATTCCATGTTTGATTCTAAATAGCTCTGAGTGATGCTAAGGTATTGACCAAAGCTAAGTAAATAAGGTAAGAATTTTTTTTATAAGCAACATGAATGTTATAATGATTTTGCACATTTAACCAGTAAATCAAATTTTAACCAGTCTTAACCATTGTGGAGTAGTGACGAAGTATCAGTGGTATACCTTGGAAAATTAGAATAAGTGTATATTTCTGATATTAAGAGTGTGTGTATGTGCTGTGCTTTGCAGAGGTATTTGGGTTTGGTTTAAAGTAGGGATGGGGATCACTGGACATATGGTGGTTTTATTTTTGGCAGTATAATTTAAAGCTATGGTTATTTAAAATGGCATCCTTTTCCAAGCGTTAACAGTTAAATCCTTGATCCATTAAGTTATGAAGAACCAAAATCTAAATTAAGTTTAACATCAAATAATGTTTTTAATTCTTACCAAATATAACCCTCTTGTTTCATAGAAGTATGAGGACTCTTAAACATAATGAATGTAAACAAAGCGTTTCTCTGTTTTATTTTATTTTTATTTTATTTTTTGCAGTACGTGGGCCTCTCACTGTTGTGGCCTCTCCCATTGCGGAGCACAGGCTCCAGACGCACAGGCTCAGCGGCCATGGCTCACGGGCCTAGCCGCTGCACGACATGTGGGATCTTCCCGGACCGGGGCACGAACCCGTGTCCTCTGCATCGGCAGGTGGACTCTCAACCACTGCGCCACCAGGGAAGCCCCAGAAAGTATATTTTTCAATTAGGGTAGTGGAAAATATATGGTTGGCACCATGATAATCTCATTAAAATACTTCCTGAATAGAGTGAGATAAACTATTAATAGCTCAAAAGTGTTTAGAGACCAGGCTAAGCCTGGTCTCTAAACACTTTTGAGCCCATATTAACAGAACTGTTTTTAATTACATTCATAAGGAAATTAATAACTTTGGACATAACTGTTCTATTGTTCTTGTTGAATAGATCTTTTCTTCATGTTTAGCTTGATTTGTTTGTAGAGGTGAAAGAATTTTCTGCCCCACGTTGAAGAAATAATTGCTTTATTTACTTTTTCTATTATTACCTGTTTCATATTGTTTTAAAATCACATAGTTCGGAGCTTGCAGGTTGGCAAACATGTGATATGCTCAGACAGGGCATGGATGCTCCATGCCCTTTTCCATATCTTGCCTTATTCATCTCGTCCATCTGGTGGTTTTTGAGTTATATCCTTTTACAACAAACCAGCAATGTAAAAAAGTCTTCCGACCTGGCCTGCCTTAGAATATCACCGGTGCTACTGATGTCCTACATTCCTCCCAGATCACATGCCAGCCTGGCACTGCTTCTCAGAGCTCGATTGAAGTAACCAAGAGGCTCGTCTCCTGAGTTTGAGAACTTCCCTTGCTCCACTGTCTTGTATTCCAGATTGTCCTACCCATCTTGCCCATTAGACCGTGAGCTCCCTGAGGCAAGGATCTCATCTCTCTTGAACTCCATTCTGTCACCTGCACCAAGAACAGCCTGGAACAGACCGTGTGGCTGACAGGGTCTTGGTGCTCTGGCTGGGTGTCAGGCCTGTGCCTCTGAGGTGGGAGAACTGAGTTCAGGACAATGGTCCATGAAGAACTCCTGGCTCCATGTAATATCAAATGGTGAAAGCTCTCCCAGAGATCTCCATCTCAACGCTAAGACCCTGCTCCACTCAACGACCAGCAGGCTACAGTGCTGGACACCCTATGCCAAACAACTATCAAGACAGGAGCACAACCCTCCCATTAGTAGAGAGGCTGCGTAAAATCATAATAAGGTCACAGAGACCCCAAAACACACCACCAGACACGGTCCTGCCCACCAGAAAGACAAGATACAGCCTCATCCACCAAAACACAGTCACCAGTGCCCTCCACTGGAAGCCTTCACAACCCACCAAACCAACCTTACTCACTGGGGGCAGAAACGAAAAACAACGAGAACTATGAACCTGCATCCTGCAAAAAGGAAACCCCAAACACAGTAAGTTAAGCAACATGAGAAGACAGAGAAACACACAGCAGATGAAGGAGCAAATAAAAACCCAGCAGACCAAACAAATGAAGAGGAAATAGGCAGTCTACCTGAAAAAAAATTCAGAGTAATGATAGTAAAGATGATCCAAAAACTTGGAAATAGAATGGAGAAAATACAAGAAACGTTTAACAAGGACCTAGAAGAACTAAAGGTCAAACAAACAATGACGAACAACACAAAAAATGAAATTAAAAATTCTCTAGAAGGAATCAATAGCAGAATAACTGAGGGAGAAGGATGGATAAGTGACCTGGAAGATAAAATAGTGTAAAAAACTACCGCAGAGCAGAATAAAGAACAAAGAATGGAAAGAACTGAGGACAGTCTCAGAGACCTCTGGGACAACATTAAACGCACCAACATTCGAATTATAGGGGTCCCAGAAGAAGAAGAGAAAAGAAAAGGGACTGAGAAAATATTTGAAGAGATTATAGTTGAAAACTTCCCTAATATGGGAAAGGAAATAGTCAATCAAGTCCAGGAAGCGCAGAGGCCTATACAGGATAAACCCAAGGAGAAACACGCCACGACACATATTAATCAAACTATCAAAAATTAAATACAAAGAAAAAATATTAAAAGCAGCAAGGGGGCTTCCCTGGTGGCGCAGTGGTTGGGAGTCCGCCTGCTGGTGCAGGGGACACGGGTTTGTGCCCCGGTCCGGGAGGATCCCACATGCCGCAGAACGGCTGGGCCCCTGAGCTGTGGCTGCTGGCCCTGCGCGTCCAGAGCCTGTGCTCCACAGCGGGAGGGGCCACAGCAGTGAGAGGCCTGTGTACCACACACACAAAAAAAGCAGCAGGGGAAAAATAACATACAAGGGAATCCCCATGAGGTTAACAGCTGACTTTCCAGCAGAAAGTCTGCAAGCCAGAAGGGAGAGGGAGGACATATTTAAAGTGATGAAAGGGAAAAACCTACAACGAAGATTACTCTACCCAGCAAGGATTTATTCAGATTCAATGGAGAAATTAAAACCTTTACAGACAAGCAAAAGCTAAGAGAATTCAGCACCACCAAATCAGCTTTACAACAAATGCTAAAGGAACTTCTCTAGGCAGGAAAAACAGACAAGGAAAAGACCTACAATAACTAACCCAAAACAATTAAGAAAATGGTAATAGGAACATATATGTTGATAACTACCTTAAATGTAAATGGATTAAAAGCTCCAAACAAAAGACATGGACTGGCTGAATGGGTACAAAAACAGGACCTGGTATATATGCTGTGTACAGGAGACTGACAAGAAAGAAAGAAAGAAATTTCAGATCAGAAATAAATGAGAAAGAAATGAAGGAAAGAGTAGGAAAGATCAATAAAACTAAAAGCTGGTTCTTTGAGAAGAGAAACAAAATTGATAAACCGTTAGCCAGAGTCATCAAGAAAAAAGGGAGAAGACTCAAATCAGTAGAATTAGAAATGAAAAAGGAGAAGGAACAACTGACACTGCAGAACAACAAAGGACCATGAGAGGTTACTACAAGCAACTCTGTGCCAATAAAGTGGACAACCTGGAAGAAATGGACAAATTCTTAGAAATGCACAACCTGCCAAGACTGAATCAGGAAGAAATAGAAACTATGAACAGACCAATCACAAGCACTGAAATTGAAACTGTGATTAAAAATCTTCCCACAAACATAGGCTTCCCTGGTGGCGCAGTGGTTGGGAGTCCGCCTGCCAATGCAGGGGACGCGGGTTCGTGTCCTGGTCCAGGAAGATCCCACATGCTGCGGAGCAGCTGGGCCTGTGAGCCATGGCCACTGGGCCTGTGCGTCCGGAGCCTGTGCTCCGCAACAGGAGAGGCCACAACGGTGAGAGGCCCGTGTACTGCAAAAAAAAAAAAAATCTTCCCACAAACAAAAGCCCAGGACCAGATGGCTTCACAGGCGAATTCTATCAAAATTTTAGAGATGAGCTAACACCTATCCTTCTCAAACTCTTCCAAAATATAGCAGAGGGAGGAACACTCCCAAATTCATTCTACGAGGCCACCATGAGCCTGATACCAAAACCTGACAAGATGTCACAAAGAAAGAAAACTACAGGCCAATATCACTGACGAACATAGATGCAAAAATCCTCAACAAAAAACTAGCAAAGAGAATCCAACAGCACATTAAAAGGATCATACACCATGATCAAGTGGGGTTTATTCCAGGAATGCAAGGCTTCTTCAATATACGCAAATCTATCAATGGGATAAACCATATTAACAAATTGAAGGAGAAAAACCATATGATCATCTCAATAGATGCAGAGAAAGCTTTTGACAAAATTCAACACCCATTTTTGATAAAAACCCTCCAGAAAGTAGGCCTAGAGGGAACTTTCCTCAACATGATAAAGGCCATATATGACAAACCCACAGCCAACATCATCCTCAATGGTGAAAAACTGAAAGCATTTCCGCTAAGATCAGGAACAAGACAAGGTTTCCCACTCTCACCACTCTTATTCAACATAGTTTTGGAAGTTTTAGCCACAGCAATCAGAGAAGAAAAGGAAATAAATGGAATCCAAATTGGAAAAGAAGAAGTAAAGCTGTCACTGTTTGCAGATGACATGATACTATACATAGAGAATCCTAAAGATGCTACCAGGAAACTACTAGAGCTAATCAGTGAATTTGGTAAACTAGCAGGAAACAAAATTAATGCACAGAAATCTCTGGCATTCCTACACACTAATCATGAAAAATCTGAAAGTAGAATCAAGAAAACACTCCCATCTACCATCACAACAAAAAGAATAAAATATCTAGGAATAAACCTACCTAAGGAGACAAAAGACCTGTATGCAGAAAATTATAAGACACTGATGAAAGAAATTAAAGATGATACAAATAGATGGAGAGATATACCATGTTCTTGGATTGGAAGAATCAACATTGTGAAAATGACTCTACTACCCAAAGCAATCTACAGATTCAACGCAATCCCTATCAAAGTACCACTGGCATTTTTCACAGAACTAGAACAAAAAATTTCACAATTTGTATGGAAACACAAAAGACCCTGAATAGCCAAAGCAATCTTGAGAACGAAAAACGGAGCTGGAGGAATCAGGCTCCTGGACTTCAGACTATACTACAAAGTTACAGTAATCAAGACAGTATGGTACTGGCACAAAAACAGAAATATAGATCAATGGAACAGGATAGAAAGCCCAGAGATCAACCCACGCACATATGGTCACCTTATCTTTGATAAAGGAGGCAGGAATGTACAGTGGAGAAAGGACAGCCTCTTCAATAAGTGGTGCTGGGAAAACTGGACAGGTACATGTAAAAGTATGAGATTAGAACACTCCCTAACACCATACACAAAAATAAGCTCAAAATGGATTAAAGACCTAAATGTACGGCCAGACACTATCAAACTCTTAGAGGAAAACATAGGCAGAACACTCTGTGACATAAATCACAGCAAGGTCCTTTTTGACCCACCTCCTAGGGAAATGGAAATAAAAACAAAAACAAGTGGGACGTCATGAAACTTAAAAGCTTTTGCACAGCAAAGGAAACCATAAAGAAGACGAAAAGACAGCCCTCAGCACGGGAGAAAATATTTGCAAGTGAACCAACTGACAAAGGGTTAATCCCCAGAATTTACAACCAGCTCATGCAGCTCAATATCAAGAAAACAAATTACCCAATCCAAAAATGGGCAGAAGACCTAAACAGACATTTCTCCAAAGAAGATATACAGATTGCCAACAAACACATGAAAGGGAGCTCAACATCACTAATCATTAGAGAAATGCAAATGAAAACTACAATGTGGTATCACCTCACACCGGTCATAATGACCATCATGAAAAAATCTACAAACAGTAAATGCTGGAGAGGGTGTGGAGAAAAGGAAGCCTTCTTGCACTGTTGATGGGAATGTAAATTGATACAGGCACTATGGGGCACAGTATGGAGTTTCCTTAAAAAACTAAAATTAGAACTACCATACAACCCAGCAATACCAGTACTGGGTATATACCCTGAGAAAACCATAATTCAAAAAGAGTCATGTACCAAAATGTTCATTGCAGCATTATTTACAATAGCCAGGACATGGAAGCAACCTCAGTGTCCATCAACAGATGAATGGATAAAGAAGATGTGGCACATATATACAATGGAATATTACTCAGCCATAAAAAGAAATGAAATTGAGTTATTTGTAGTGAGGTGGATGGACCTAGAGTCTTTCATACAGAGTGAAGTAAGTCAGAAGGAGAAAAACAAATACCATATGCTTACACAAATATATGGAATCTAAAAAAAAAAAAAAAAAATTGGTCATGAAGAACCTAGGGGCCAGACGGGAATAAAGACACAGACCTACTAGAGAATGGACTTGAGCACACGGGGTGGGGGAAGGGAAATCTGGGACAAAGTGATAGAGTGGCATGTACTTATATACACTACCAAATGTAAAACTGATAGCTAGTGGGAAGAAGCCGCATAGCACAGGGAGGTCACCTTGGTGCTTTGTGACCATCTAGAGGGGTGGGATAGGGAGGGTGGGAGGGAGATGCAAAAGGGAAGAGATATATGTATATGTATAGCTGATTCACTTTGTTATAAAGCAGAAACTAACACACCATTTAAAGCAATTATACTCCAATAAAGATGTTAAAAAAGTAAAATTAAGATATACAGTGTAAAAAACATCACATAGCTCATATATCTCTTTATTTATTTACTTGCAAATTTATGGGAATTTGGTATAATACGAAATTTTCTTTTTGTGAATACTTGTAATTTTTTTCTGTTCCAGACAGATAATTTTAAGAGGAGTTTGATTAATTTAGACTCTAACAAAATAACTGTTACATATAATTTTTTATTAATAAGTTTTAATATTTTAAAGTTTTGGAAATAGTTGTTTTGCTGAGTACTGTTATATTGCCTTGGTGTATTACTTTGCTAGGGCTGCCATAACAAAATAACATAGACTGAGTAGCTTAAACAGCAGAAATTTATTTTCTCATAGTTCTGGGAGCTAGAAGTCCAAGATCAAGGTGTTCACAAGTTTGGTTTCTCTTGAGGCATGTCTCCTTGTCTTTCAGATGACCCCCTTCTTGATGTGGCCTCACATGACTTTTTCTTTGTGTGCTCGCATCCTTTGTGTCTCTTTGCATGTCCAAATTCCCTCTTATGAGGGCTTTGATTTGATTTAACTACCTCTCTAAAGGCCCTGTCTCCAAATACAGCCACATTCTGAAGTATTGGGGGTTAAGGTTTCAACATACGATTTTTGAGGGAATAAAACATACTGGTAATGCCTGAATAAACTATGCATTCTATAAAATTGAGTCAGTAGTTTAAGATACCATGGGGGCTTCCCAGGTGGTGCAGTGGTTGGGAGTCCATCTGCTGGTGCAGGGGACACGGGTTCGTGCCCCGGTCTGGGAGGATCCCACATGCCGCGGAGCGGCTGGGCCCGTGAGCCATGGCCGCTGAGCCTGCCCGTCCAGAGCCTGTGCTCCGCAATGGGAGAGGCCATGACAGTGAGAGGCCCACGTACCGCAAAAAAAAAAAAAAGATACCATGGATAAGTCCTATTCTAGGAAACTAAATATCTTTTAGGACACCTTGAAAACTGTAAATGTACTTCTATAAGGTGTCAGTTTTTAAAAAATTAATTCATAAAACCAGGTATTCTATATTGTACGTTCATTCATTTTTGACCCATTGTAATATTTTATGAACCACCAAACTTGTGACTATCACTACAGCGTTACATTTTCCCTGTAAATCAGGGGTCCCCATCCACCAAGCCGCAGACCACTATTGGTCTGTGGCCTGTTAGGAACCGGGCCGCACAGCAGGAGGTGAGCAGAGGGCAAGGGAGTGAAGCTTCATCTGCTGCTCCCCATGGCTTGCATTACCGCCTGAACTATACCCCCATCCGCCCCGCCCTGGTCCGTGGAAAAATTGTCTTCTGTGAAACTGGTCTCTGGTGCCAAAAAGGTTGGGGACCACTGCTGTAAATGACCTCCCCCTTGCCCCCTTTTATTTTTTTTCACCTTGGCTAGGACGAAAGAACTGCTTTTAAGTTTCATGCATTAACATGTAATGAACTTGTTCTCATTATAGCTCCAAGCGACCATCTGATTTGCCATTCCATTTAATAATTTATCAGAATCTTCCAGTTTAGGGATGAAAATTATCCTACACCTTTTCATTTCCTCTTTTCTTTAATCTCTGCACCAGGAATGAGTTTTCTTTACAGAAGCATTGTTGTTGTTTTTAAACAAAGAATGGTTTTAGAAAGTTTGTTGCACTTCTGAATGTGTATCATGAAGGAAAAGCAATGAGGCTGCTCATTGAAGTTTTAGATATTAGGTATTGCTGGCCAAGCACAATCCTTCGCTCAGTGACTTTGCTCTTCCACTTTGTTAGCAGCTAGTATGGTTAAAATCTGTGCTTCGTCAAGGCACAGTAGATTCCTACATATCTGGATTTTTGAAGGTGGAGTCTGTAAATGCTAGATTTCAAGTATGTACACTTACTTTTTTTTGTTTGTGGCTTTACAGAGATAAGATATATACTTGATAGCTTTTAATTTGTTTTTTCTTAGTTATCTATGTTGATTTTTCATGCAGTTTCATGTAGGAGAAGAAGTATGTGTTGTACTGTTTGTATATAGAGAGTTATGATATAGCTGTAATCTATATTTTGAAATTTGCTTTTTCTTCCTTTAATAATTAGCTATTACAGTGATTAACTGATTTGAAGTCATCAGTATAAAATATTTCTTTGAGTTTTTTTACCAAACCAGGAACTCATAACTTTGATTATTAAAAATTTACTGGCTAATACTTTATTCACAAGTTAAAGCGTTGTTAAGCAAAATATTTTTTTTACATTTATTATTAATTTTAATAATATTAAAGACACATAATTTACAAATAATAATAGAGTATTCAGTACTGTATCATAAGTTCTTTTTAGCCAGTTGAATAGCAAAATATTTTTTTAAACCTTTTGTTATGAAAATTTTGAACAATCTTAAAATCAGAGTATAAAATGAAACTCCATGTGGATATCACCCATCTTCATCAGCTATCCATGTTTGTCATTCTTAGAAAATAACTTCTTTATAATAAATAACATTCGAACTGTGGTTTGGACATATTTGGACAGTATTTTATATTTTCTGGTTTTGGCTTAATATATTGCAGAATCTGTTCTAGATGCTTTTGATATGTAGAGAAATTGTCACTTGGAAAATACTTTTCTGTTTTTGAAAACAAAAATTAAGATTACTGAATGTATTTTGTTTTCTAGTTTGAAAATTTGTCAAGCATATTAAAGCTTCCCGGTAAAAAGACTTTTAATAATATGGATAGAGATTTTTTAGAAAAGAGAAAAAAGGATCTAAATGCATATTTGCAGGTAAGTTCATGTTTATTATTACCCATAGATTTTCAATTCAATATAGCATAGAAATATAGCTGATTTCTTTATTAGAGAATGTTTGTACTGTAATAGTGGGATAGCAGCCACTTTTGAGGTGCTGAGATGTGACGTGCAATCTGCTCAGTAATTTATAAATATTATTTCTGTTTGTTTATTAACTTAGAAGTTTTCTGGACACTCAGTGCTAGGAATTTTGCTTCTTCAGGTTTGAATGAATATACACACACACCAGCAGGCACACATCCATTCTACACTACTGTAAAGTCTAGGAAGTCTAGGTATTTTACAGCAGACAGTTAAATGTTCCCAGTTCGGTAAATAGTTGCTCTTCATAATGTATCCAAAGCTAGTAGATTTTTTTTTCTTTTCCCTATGGCTTATTACATGGTATTAAATATAGTCCCCTGTATAGATTTTTATTCTCAGATAAAGTGAATAGCTGCCTGCCATGGTCCAGAATGATTCTAAAGCTTCTAAAATTACAGGATAATTCAAGAGAGGAATAGATCCAAGGGACTTTTCAGAAGTGTAGCATGCTAAGCATGTAGATTTCTCTTCTGGAATAATGGAATAATAAAACGTGTCTCATAGGTTACGTACTTCATAAGCCTTTGGGACTATCAGAAATAACTTTGTTTTAGACCTGGGTACCCAAATGCCAGATTTTAATAGTATCACTTTATGGTTTTTTATAGTAATGAATGATTTATAAAATTTTCTCATCTATTAGCTCCCCACTTCTCAATTTAGAACAGGGGTCAGCAAATTCCAGCCAGCAGACCATATCCAGCCTGCCACCTGTTTTATTAAGAGTTTATTTTATTATTAGAACACAGCCACCCATTTAGTTTACTGCTGTCTATGACTGCTTTTACACTACTACAGCAGAGTTGAGTAGTTGCAGCAGATTCCATGCATCACAAAACCTAAAATAATTATTATATGAACCTTTACAGGAAAAATTTGCCGACCATTTATTATATTTAGTGAAACTTAGCTAATACTGTACTTGATATTTTGTTTGGAAGGTTTCTCTCTCTTAAACATTTATAGGTTTAATTGGGTTTGTTTATAACCATAATTGTAATTCCATGGCATTATAGTTTACTGAAAGGGTAGGAAAAACATATACATCTGCTATTATTCACCTTTGTCTTCTGGCTTAAGGCTAAATATCTGAAATCATTTATATGACTCTTGTCAAACATTTTGATTTTGTAAAATGTATTAACTTGAGTTGCATTAAAATCTGTATCCATTATTTATAAAATTTAGAACAAAAGCACGTTTCTTCCAAATCTGGGACCATAAATATGTATTTTAATTGTGGCTATACTGTCTACTTCTTAGGTAATGATCTGAATATGTCAAAACATCTTTAATTGAAGAGATTAAGCTAGAATGTTAGACTGTATCATTAACAGTGTAAAAGCAATACTTTGTTTTGGGCCTTCTAATACTTAAAAAATTTTGTTTGAATTATTTTATCTACTTTCTATTAATGTTAACGTTAAAATTAGGATTTCAAAAACAACAGTTCACTGATGTGGGTCTTCTTAGTATAAGCTATAAAATCTGAAAATGGAATAGTAAAAAACATTTGGGGGAATTCCCTGGCGGTCTAGTGGTTACGACTCTGTGATTCCACTGCAGGGGGTGTGGGTTCGATTCCTAGTCAGGGAACTAAGATCCCACATGCCGCGTGGCACAGCCAAAATAGATAGATAGGCAGGTAGATAGGTGGATAGAAAAATGTGTTAAAATTTTTTTAAAAAAATAACATTTTTACTATACATTCTTAACATTCTAGCAGAAGAAATTATAAATAATAGTTAATTTTCAGTACCCTATCAATATAAGATACCTTTTTTCTTTTCCTGTTAGTTACTGTTAACTCCTGAAATGATGAAAGCATCCCCAGCTTTGGCTCACTATGTGTATGATTTCCTTGAGAACAAAGCCTACAGTAAAGGGAAAGGGGATTTTGCTCGTAAGGTAAGCAAACCATTGCATTAGTTTTCTTTATAGGTCTGTTTTCATACTTTCTTTTTAATAAAAGAAGATAAATTTGTATTTGTGTGTATGTTTTAAAACTAGAAAACTTTATTAAATGCTCCTTGGCATGTTTATCTTCTCTGCTTTATTAAGTCTACTATTGATAAGTATATCTAATAAATATAAACTCCTGTCTTTACATATTGATTAAAATGTAGCAAAAGCTTGCAAGAAAAAAAAGCTTTTGAAATGATACAGTAAGGAGAGTTGGCCTAAGACAGATCACAAGCTTTCGTTAGCTTGAGAAGGAGCTACTTCTTATTGGGAGGAAATGTCTTTTTTTTTTTTTTTTTTTTTTTTTTTTTTCCTTGCGTTATGCGGGCCTCTCACTGTTGTGGCCTCTCCCATTTGCGGAGCACAGGCTCCGGACGCGCAGGCTCAGCGGCCACGGCTCACGGGCCCAGCCGCTCCGCGGCACGCGGGATCCTCCCGAAACGGGGCACGAACCCACGTCTCCTGCATCGGCAGGCGGACTCTCAAGCACTGCGCCACCAGGGAAGCCCGGAAATGTCTTTTATTTGGAGTAAGGATAAGAAAAATGTTAAATAGGATATGTTCCTGAAAGTATTTGTGCCTTTTGAGTGACATATTTATTGTTTAAAATTCTGGGGGCACAAGACCTATTAAGATGCTAGCTTAAGGCAATAAATGATTTACTGCTCAAATTGGGCAAGATAGTTCACTGGGTGAGAACACAAACATTGGAATCAGGCAACCTTTGGTTCAAATTCCTGTTCTGCCACTTATTAGCTGTGTCCTGCAAAATGTTACTTAACTTTCTGGGCTTTTAATTTTCTAAAGATTGAAGGTGTTAATCCTCAGTGTAGAGCATGTATGGATCAAATGAAATAATCTATGTATTACAGTGCCTGTCTGAATAAATGTTGGCTCTTAGAAGTAGTAACAGTAGTAGCAGGAGCTGTAGCAGCAGTTGGGAAAGCTGGAAGTGGGAATTCTGTGGATTATTTTTGCAACTTTTTAAAAGTCTGAAATTATTTCAAAATGAAAATTAAAAGTAAAAGACTTCCCCACCACTCGTTCTTCTAAAAAGCCTAACTTGCTTAAAAAAGATTAAGGAATTGGTACAAAATAAGTAAGATTAACAACCGTAAGCATAAGAACTTCATGTGATTTCTCAAGGATACTACGGTTTAACATCCAAGTGAATGTTAACATTTCTAAGTGGAATGTTTTATTTTAATAAGAAATTCCAGGTTATGTACCTTATAATGGTAGGAAAAAAATATGGTGGCCTTATCTATGTGTTTCGTGGTTGAGTTTAAATTCCAACTCTAAATGGCTTTATTGTCAATAGAGATGCATTTCAGTATTCCATCTTTTTTATGTTTACCTTATTTTCTCTCAAGGTTGTATCAATTTTAAGATAAACTAATAAATTGATAAGAGCTTTTTGAGATAAAAGAAGCATTATATTAAATGTAGACAATGTCTTTTTTACCAACAGTTGTGCATGTATATATATATATATATATATATATATATATATATATAATATTAAATGTAGACAATGTCTTTTTTACCAACAGTTGTGCATGTATATATATATATATATATATATATATATATATATATAATAGGTAAGCCAAAAAGTTCGTTTGTTTTTTCCAAAAGATGGCTCTAGTAGTGCTTAGTTGTCTTTAACTTCATTCAGAACAACTTTGTTAGATTGTATTGTGACAACTGTCAAATCAGCGTGCATTAAAAAAAAAAATCAAAATTGGTAAATTTTTGTGTAGCCATTTTCATATTAAAGATGGAAGGAAAAAAGCAGCACTTTTTGCATATTATGCTTTATTATTTCAATAAAGGTAAAAACACAACTGAAACGCAAATAAAGATTTGCGCAGTGTATGGAGAAAGTGCTGTGACTAAATGGGTCACAAGTGGTTTGCAAAGTTTCGTTCTGGAGATTTCTCGCTGGACGATGCTCCACAGTCGGGTTGGTTAGAGCAACTGAAGTTGATAGCTATCAAATCGAGACATTAATTGAGAGCAATCGACGTCATACCATGTGGGAGATAGCTGGCACACTCAAAATATCTAAATCAAGCACTGAAAATCATTTGCACCAGCTTGGTTATGTTAACTGCTTTGATGTTTGGGTTCCACATAAGTTAAGAGAAAGAAACCCTCTTGACCATATTTCTGTGTGTGATTCTCTACTTGAACGCAACGAAAATGTTCCGTTTTTAAAACATTGTGATGGGCAATGAAAAGTGGATACCGTACAATAATGTGGAACAGAAGAGATGGTGGGGCAAGAGAAATGAACCACCACCAGCCAACTAAAGGCTGGTTTTCAGCCAAAGAACGTGATGTTGTGTATATGGAGGGATTGGAAGGGAGTCCTCTATTAGGAGCTCCTTCCAGAAAACCAAACGATTAATTCCAACAAGTACTGCTTCCAGTTAGACCACCTGAAAGCAGCATTTGACAAAAAGCGTCCAGAATTAGTCAACAGGAAATGCATTATCTTCCATGAGGATAACGCAAGACCGCATGTTTCTTTGATGACCAGGCAAAAACTTTGACGGCTTGGGAAATTCTGATTCATCTGCCCCTTCAGATTTCCATTTATTTAGATCATTACAAAATTCTCTTAATGGAAAAAATTTCAGTTTCCTGGAAGACTGTAAAAGTCACCTGGAACAGTTCTTTGCTCAAAAAGATAAAAAGTTTTAGGAGGATGGAATTATGAAGTTGCCTGAAAAATGGCAAAAGGTAGTGGAACAAAAGGGTGAGTACGTTGTTCAATAAAGTTCTTGGTGAAAATGAAAAATACGGCTTTTATTTTTACTTAAAAAATGAAGGAACTTTTTGGCCAACCCAATATATATATACACACACACACATATACACATTAGAGTCTAAAAATTAGAGTGTAAAAATCCTTCTCAATCATTTCTGGAAATCCACAGTAACATACATTTTTCATAAATCATGTTGGTAATTACCAAGTTCATCTTGACCTCTTTTAGATTGTCAGAATAATTTTCATGCATATCAAGAATTAGGAGTTTTCAGCTACATTTCCTTTTTGGCTAAATTGTAGTTTAATATTTTCCTTAATTATATTTCATTGGAAATGAAATAGCTATTAAGAGAAAATCACCTGTAAACATTTTATTAGTAGCTACTCAGGTTGAGAAATAATACTTTATAACACATTAGCTTGGACACACAATTTGTCTAGCTTTGCAAAATTTATGGGCCAATTCCTAGAAGAAGTAATTGACAAGCAGTCTTCCTCCATGTACACAGTGTCTTTCTATCCAGTTTTGTATCATGGTGTGATGACAGTTTTAAGCTGTAGATAGGGACCTAAATTTAAGTTAAAATTCCTTTGTTCGTGTTTTTACCAATACAAATAACTCATCTGAAGTGATAACTGAATGAATAGACAACATCTATGTATGTCAGGCTAAGTGTACACTTTTGCTGGCAATCCATAATTTACTCTTCTGCCTGGTAATTTTGCAATTTTCTTTCTTTCTTTTTTTTTTTTTTTTTTGCTTTAAACATCTGTTTTAAGACAAATCCTGATTCTGGAAACATTATCATATTGTGATAGGCTGCTTTTATGCTTCTAAATTCTGCTGCTTTCAGGGTTGAGTGTCATAATCACGTGTGGAGTTTTTTCCATGCCCCGTGGTTCCCCCACTCCCCACCCCCAACACAGATGATTAAGCTTTGCCCTCAGAAATTGGAGGAAAAAAACATGGAAGAAAGAAAAGGAAAGAAAAAGAAATGGATTCTGTAGGTCTGGGACTGGTGCACAGGCAACTCTTTTCAGTTATCTAATTCAGGATATAGATTTAAGTTCTCTTATTTTGAGAGAGAGTCAGTGGTAGTTAGCCCTATGCCTAGATAGGATTTGAGGTTGTATTCATTTAACCAACTTAAGGTTATGTTAGTTGAACCCATGTTTCTACTATGAAGTGTAAGATACATAAAATTCTAAAATATTTTTGACGGTGTTCAGTTTTTAATGTAGGTTAAGATTAAAGTGAAATTCTTGCCTTTTATACTTCTGAAATTCTACCTCATACAAAATGTATATTGTAAGTGTGGTAGTCTCATGTTAACCTCTCTTAAAAATTCTACTTGTGTTCTTATGACTTAGAGTTATTACAGTTAAAAAAACACTTGGCAGTAATGTCAGTGTTGGAAATGTCCTGATTCATTTGAACACACTGTTCTGGTTAACTGAGAACTACTGTATATAGAATTAGAATTACACACACACATATATATAATTTTACACCCAAATATATGTATATAATTGCACACATAAGTGTGTGCACACACAAGAGAGTTAACTTCATCTTTTTTACCCTTTTTAATCTCTGTATCTCTCTTCACCAGTGGTAGTGGTTTTTGAGCCCTTCTTCTTCCTTTCTATCCTTTGGTTTTTCTTTAAATTTGTTGTACTGTGATAGTGTCCCTCCTAAAGGTTGTATATTCCAGCAAGCATATCTGAAAGACTGTTGGCTCTGCTTAACCCAAGGAATTACTAAAACTTTTAGTTATCTTGAAGTAAACTCTGTGTTGTTATTGTTTATTACAGTACCTATTTGACCTTTTCTAATTTTTCTTGTTGGAAACCATGAAAGCATATTAAAGAATTTTATCTTCTTGATATCATCTGTTAACATTGTGTTCCTTAAGCAGTGGGGTTCCATTTTTTTTGCTCTTACTGCTTTTATTTTTTTTCTTTTTGCATACAGCATAACTCATTTCTGTGGTAGTTTTTATGAGATTCAGTACTTTCTGGAAAATAGTCTTACAGTTTTGTTTGACTTTGGTTATTGTGTCCCCTTTTTCTTTTCTCCCCTCCCTCCTTTCCTTTTTCTCTCTTTCTTTCATTTGTTTTGTTTGTTTTAGTCTGTTAAAAATCTCACAGAGATCCATATGCATCT